ACAAAAAGTCATTCCCAAAGAGATGCTAAGATGATAATAACAGGTCTTCATAAGTCCGCCCATGACTTTGTGACTAAAACAGCCTTTAAAATATCAAAGAAAGGCATGAAAAAAAATAGTGATGCAGTATCACAGTTTAGTGAATAAAATAAAACCTTTCTCCAGATGATACAGATGTAGAACAATCTTACCGATACATTTTTATTTAAGAATAACTGTATCTGGTTTGTCAGACAAAACGAGAATATTTTAGTCATTTCATTGTTCTGAGTCTGTTTGTTGTACCAAGAAAAAAAAAATCCCCAATGGGAATATCATTTGCATTTTTCTCAATCACACATGTGAGTCCACATGTGGAGCAGACGGCTGCCATCTAAGGCGCCTGGAGAGCAGCTGGAGGGTTGAGGACCCTTGAGGCCTTGCTTAAGAGCCCACAGTGAGGGGAATTAGGGGGGAGGCAGATGTGGATGAGTCACCTTTTCCACCCAAATTATCTGTACTGGGCTGGGGATTCAAAACTGCAACTCCCCAATTACAAGCTCACCTTCTCTAACCTCAGCACCACCCCTCCCCTCTAGATATCCTATATTGTCTCCACTTTAGACAAATAGAGACGTTTTGTTGTTTTCTCATGAGTGTGTTATTTTGCATAAAACATAACTTTTTGTCTTGTGACAGTACCAAGTGTAAAACTAGCATCCCAAAAGAAAAAGCTAGGCACACGATGATGTGCTGTTTGTTACTGTTGTGTAGCATTGAATGTACTCATGTTTATAATGTTGTGTTTTACTGCATCACTCTAGATTGTGATGTATTGTGATCTCATGGCATTTTTTTCAAAGCATATTGATTTTTTATTTTTTACATTTTATTGTAATATAGAATATTGTAACGTATTTAGTATCATATTGTATTGCAATTTTTTTTAATTTTTTTCTTATTTTCAAAATAGGAATTGAACAGTGAATGCAAGTAAACCTTATTGTTTTTGGTGCATGATATTTAAGCGAGTAGGAGTTACACTGTGTAGAAAAAGAAAATAGAA